TTAGCCAAGGAAAATGTGCTAGGTTAAATTAAGTAAATTGCCCAAAAGTGTCACAATTTTTTCCAAGTAATTTTAGGATATTAGCTATATATTAATATTTAGTAATGCTATTACCTCAGGAATATATTCAGAAAAAAATATGTACTAGAGGGTTTAACTGCTCCATTATTTTTAACAACAAAAATTGGAAATACCTTAAATACATATGATATGAATAAATAAAGTATAAGATATTCATGGGCTAGAAACCTGTGTATAAATTACAGTGAATGAACTGGAATTATGTGCACCAATATTCCCAAATTATAACGTACTAAGAAGGCAAGATAATGAATGATTCATCCCATGTGATAACATTATATAACGTTTGAGAACACAAAAGACAATTGCAGGCATAGATTATAGCTACATAAATAAATAATAATAGTATAATAAACATTTACAGGATGAGACAGAAAAAAATTAGAAAAGAGATTACTTTTGAATAGGGAAATGGGAATAGAATTGTGGAATTTATAAAAGAAGTCACAGGCCGGGCTCAGTGGCTCAAGCCTGTAATACTAGCACTCTGGGAGGCCGAGGTGGGCGGATTGCTCGAGGTCAGGAGTTCGAAACCAGCCTGAGCAAGAGCAAGACCCCGTCTCTACTATAAATAGAAAGAAATTAATTGGCCAACTAATATATATATATATATATATATATAAAATTAGCCGGGCATGGTGGCGCATGCCTGTAGTCCCAGCTACCTGGGAGGCTGAGGCAGAAGGATTGCTTGAGCCCAAGAGTTTGAGGTTGCTGTGAGCTAGGCTGACACCACGGCACTCACTCTAGCCTGGGCAACAAGAAGACTCTGTCTCAAAAAAAAAAAAAAAAGAAGTCACAATTCTATTTGAATAGCCATGAAACTGATGATAAAAGCTCATAATTTTATTTAGACTATGGCATCCAGATGTTTATTATATTATTACTTTAAATAATTGTTGAGTGGATAAATGACTGAAAAATAAACCAAGGAATGAATGCAGTCTTTCTCAAATAACAACAAAAAAATCTACAACGTAATTACCTCAGTTCCATGTGAAAATGGACACATTTTGATTCTACTTCAAATCAAATAAATCTGCATCTATGGCGTGTAAATCTAGTAAAAACCACTCTTGTGTACATGCACACACCAGACACAAACAAAACACAATCTCTGAGAATGTGCCCTGTATGCGTGTGTGTATATGTGTGTATGACATTTTGAGAACCATTGGTCTGAAAAAACCATCATTGAATACTTTGGAGGCAAACAAAGAACAAATACTGCCCTAAGGACCTCTTGGATTATCTATTTAATTTAGCCTAATTCTTAAAAACAAAATGATATGAAGAGAACAATTAAAATTTTACCACCACAGTTTAATTGTGAGCTTTGCCTCTAACTGCTTGTTCTGAGTAAATGCTTAATCTGTTTGTTCCATTTCCTCTATTTTAAAAGAGAGCAATGGAGTAAGCTATTTCTATAACGTTTTCTTTTAATGGTGTTCCCAGAAAATCTGGATCATTCATGATCTTCTAACATTGAAAATTTAGGATTATATCAGTTAATTTCTTTCACCAAATATTTATTGAGTCCCTAGCACACACCAAGCACTACTTTAAAGCTCATTTTAACCCTTACTAGGGACCTGTCCTGGTGCTTAGACATGGGATTGTATGGTTGTTATCTTCTTCAGTAGTTTTCCATCTGAGCATAAAAAAAAAAAAAAAAAAAAAAAAAGGATGTACAAGGTCCATACATGTGTGAGACATAATCTCAACAAATTATTACAATGGTCTTAAAGAATAAACATATAACTCTCTTTTTTTACAGATGAGGCCCCTGAAGCTCAGTTATACTAAGTAACTGTTTATAGATAAGAAAGCACAATAGGGCAAAACAGGATTTGAATTATGTTCTACAAATTCTAAACCCAGGTCCCTTTATAGTTAGTATTATTAGGAGCCATAATAATTGCGCCTAATTTTACAGTGACATGTCCAGCCTTCCAGTCATTGTGTGTCTCTCACGCTTGCTGGAGTCCTAGTTTACTCCAACTGAATTGTAAGTGCTTCTTGAAAATACTTCTGATACTACCATTGTCTGACATTTCAACTCCCCCTGATCCCTGATAGTGACATGTTGGATTTTGCTTCAGTTTCAACCTTACCTATAATATCCTTTATCTTTGTGGACTGAACACCCTGCCTCAGAACACTCCACTTATTCCTGGAGTCTTATTTTCCAGGTGAGTATTGATACTTAAAGAAAAAAAAAAAAATCTAGTCATGACCCCAAGCTGTCCATTCAAAGAAAATAAAATAATACACTTACCCTTGAAGTTCTCAGCTAAAAGGGGAGAATAGCATATAATTTTCAGCATAGTTAGTGTGTAAACAAGATCTAAGGCACAGGATAAGAGCTCCTTTCTTCAGATATTTAGAAACCTGGTCAATGTAGATAGCTTGATATTCTTCCCTAAAGGGCCCTGTGTTCTCACCATACAGGATTGTTGAAATCAACTTTTTAGGAAAAGTCAAGGACGCCTTATAGATCCGAGTAACCAAGAAAATTACAATGTTTAGAAAAAAATATGGTGAAAAAAGCCATAGACCATTCACTTTCCACTGTGTATTATTTCTCAGTGCCTTGTCAGCAACCTGGCTGCTCTTGATTTCCTTTCAGCTGATCTCAGAATCTCAGATTGTTCTGGTAGCTGCCTCCTCCTTTTTTAACTTTGTTATCTCCCTAATTACCACCCTGGATGTAAGTCTTCACAATTTCCCAAAAGTAGAAGAATAGGAAGTGAGTGTATTTGTTTTATTTTGTTTGTTACTGTACACATAGAACACCTAAAACATCCCAAGCTCTCACCCAAATGGTCCACCTGGCCAAATCCTACCCATTCTTTAACCCTTTTCTCAAATAAAGGCATATCTCATTTTATTGCTTTTTGCTTTATTGAACTCTGCTGATACTGTGTTTTTTTAAAAAAGTTTTGTAGAAATCCTTTTTCAAGCAAGTCTATCAGCACCATTTTCCAACAGCATGTGGTGACACTCTGTCTCTGTGTAACATTTTGGTAATTCTTGCAGTATTTCAAACTTTTTCATCATTATTATATCTGTTATGGTGATCCATGATCATTGATCTTTGATGTTACTATCATAATTGTTTTGGGGCATCATGAACTGCATCCATATAAGACAGCAAACTGAATCAATAATGCTGGGTGTGTTCTGACTGCTCAACTGGCCGGCCAGCCAGTTCCCAATCTCTCCCTCTGCTCAGGCCTCCCTATTTCTTGAGACACAACAATATTGAAATTAGGAATTAATGACCCTAAAACAGCCTCTAAATGTCCAAGTGAAAGGAAGAAGGAAGAGTCTCACTGCATGTCTCTCACTTTAAATCAAAAGTTAGAAATGATTAAGCTTTGTGAGGAAAGCACACTGAAAACAGATAAGCCAAAAGCTGGGCTTCTTGCCGAGGCCAAATACTTAGCCAAGTTGTGAACACAAAGGAAAAATTCTTCAAAGAAATTAAAACTGCTACTCCACTGAACATAAAAATAAGAAGAAATTAAAACAAACTTATTGCTAATATAGAGAAAGTTTTAGTGGTCTGAATAAAAGATCAAACCAGCCGCAACATTCCCTTAAACTAAAGTCTAATCCAGAGCAAGGCCCTAACTCTGTTCAATTCTATAAAACCCAAGAGAGGTGAGAAAGCTGCAGAAGAAAAGTTTGAGGCTAACAAAAATTGTTTTATGAAGTTTAAAGAAAGAAGCCATCTCTGCAAGATAAAAATGCACGGTGAAACAGAAAGTGCTGATGTGAAAGCTGTAGTAAATTATTAGAAGATCTAGGTAAGATAATTGATGAAAGTGGCTGCACTAAACAACAAATTTTCAATGTAGGTGAAATAATCTTCTGTAGGAGAAATCAATGGTCTGGCTTCAAAGGGCAGGTTGACTCTCTTGTTAGGAGTTAATGCAGTTGGTGACTTAAAGTTGAAGCCAGTGCTCATTTACCATTCCAAAAATCCTAAGGCTCTTAAGAATTATGTTAAATCTATCCTGTCTGTGCTCTAGAAGTGGAATTAAAAAGCCTATGACAGTATATCTATTTAAACCATGTTTTACTGACTATTTTAAGCCCACTGTTGAGACCGACTGTGCAGGAAAAAAAAAATCTTTTAAAATATTGCCGTTCTGTGACAACGCACCTGGTCATCCAAGAGTTCTGACAGAAATGACAAGAAAACGCGCCTGGTCATCCAAGAGTTCTGACAGAAATGACAAGAAAACGCACATGGTCATCCAAGAACTCTGACAGAAATGACAAGAAAACGTACCTGCTTATCCAAGAGTTCTGACAGAAACGCGCGAGGAGCCTGCCCTGGGCTTTGAGCGGGAAGGGGCTTCGTGGGCGGCAGCGGCTAGGAGCGGCTTGGCGGAAGCGGCGGTGGCCGGGTGTTCGCGCCTGTGGCTCTCGCCAAATTCTGCAATTCTGTCGCGTCAGAGATTCCAGGGACTGCCGGAGCGGCGCCCCGAGGCCTGCGGCTTATACTTCAGTGTGGCGGGCTCCAGTGCAGCGCGGCGCCGGCCCGGAGGGCCCTACCTGGTGGCGCCTTGAGGTGGAGGCACAGGGGCCCAGCTCGCAGACGCTCACTTTCCTGGACACCAGGGCTCGGCTGCTGGACGCTGATACTCAGGGCTCCGAGTTCGAGTTCACTGACTTTCTCCTGAGGAGCCACACTCCGACTCCCCTGACTGGCTGCGCCAGAGACGCAGCGCAGCGTGAGCGAGACGCAGCGTCAGCCCGACAGCGAGACGCACAGGTGAGCGGCACGCGGTGGTGCTGGACGCCAGGGCGGGTCTTGGCGCCTGAGACCTGCCTCAGCTGCCTGTGCGGCCCGGCCTACCTGTCTGCCCCCGCACTGCAGCTGCGTCTCAGCCAACTTGTACCTCACTCTGGCCAGGTTTGCCTCTCTGACTGGGCCACTGCTGACCTGCTTCGTGTCCCGCAACCGGCCTGGCCTGAGGTAATCTTTCCCCTTCCCCCTGTCTGCCTGGGTCTCCGTGGACCTGGCTTGATTCCTCCGCTCCAGCCGGGATGGGCTGACCTGCCCTGTTCCCTTCACGCGCTGGTGCCAGTGGTCCGCTCCGAGTCTCTCTATGGCCTGGTCTGAGTCTCGCTCAGGCCAAATCTGAGGTGACAGCCCAAAGTCCCCTTCCGGGCGCGTTCCTAAGTCTGTCTCTGGCTCCGTCCGAGGTGGCCTGCCTGGTCTCCCCTCAGGTTGATCCAGCCGCGCTATTGCACCCCTGCTCCGTGGTGGCAGCCATCCGGCCGTAACACCCCTGCTCTGTGGGGGCAGCTGTCTGGGCTAACACCCCTGCTCTGTGGTGGCAGCCATCCGGCCGTAACACCCCTGCTCTGTGGGGGCAGCGGTCTGGGCTAACACCGCTGCTCTGTGGTAGCAGCCGTCTGGGCGTAACACCCCTGCTCTGTGGTAGCAGCCGTCTGGACTAACACCCCTGTTCTGTGGGGGCAGCGGTCTGGGCGTAACACCCCTGCTCTGTGGTGGCAGCCGTCTGGGCATAACCCCCCTGCTCCGTGGTGGCAGCAGTCTGGGCTAACACCCCTGCCCTGTGGTGGAAGCCGTTTGGACTAACACCCCTGCTCTGTGGTGGAAGCCGTCTGGACTAACACCCCTGCTCTGTGGTGGCAGCCGTCTGGACTAACACCCCTGCCCTGTGGTGGCAGCCGTCTGGGCGTAACACCCCTGCTCTGTGGTGGCAGCCGTCTGGGCGTAACACCCCTGCTCTGTGGGGGCAGCCGTCTGGACTAACACCCCTCCCCCAGTTCACACCCACCGAGCCGCGGGTTCAGATTTCCCGGGCCGGGCGCTGACAAGCGAAAGGCTGACGCTCCCTGAGCAGAGAGGAATTTTCACCTCGCGTGAAGAACCGGTTATTTCGATTATTCAGGAAGCAGATTGCATATTGTTTATCCTTCTTGCATCGCCTATTGTTGAAACCCAGCTGTCACATAACTTTACAGCCCTGCCTTGGAAATTTGGGTTTGAGTTTTTTTCTTCCGATGGGACAGCGATATAAGGTTTTACATAAATGGGCCTGGCACATGGGAAAAGTCTATTTTGAATGATGTGGATGTTTAACGAAGGTTACCTAGGTATTATTTTTTTGAATTATTTTTTATTTCGGCATATTATGGGGGTACAAATTTTAAGGTTTCAATAAATGCCCTTTTCCCCCCCTCCCCCACCAGTCTGAGTTTCCAGCATGACCATCCCCCAGATGGTGCACCGCTCACTCATTATGTGTGTGTATATACTTAGGTATTTTAAATCGGCGTTTGGGTTGTGACAAGGATCAGGCAAGCACTTCCTGGACCTGGGTTCCTGCCTGGGGTAGGAAAGGGGCCTGGGTAGGGTCCTGGGAATGCTGCCACCATCCTCTGGATCTCAGATTGCTTTCACTGGAGGCTTGCTTGGGGCTTGGCACTCCCTCAGGTTTATTTTCCTGACTGCTCCGTCAGGGAGGAGCTACGAGGCTCACTTTGTCACCCGTATCCCGCGGCCCATGCGTGTGTTCTGGAGCTACCTCTTGTTCAACCAGAGTGAGCTCAGACCCTGCCCTTGGGGGTAGGGGGGCTTATGTGCCAGTTGGTTGAGTCACTTCCATGGGTAGAACACCCACTTGGGCTTTCTTTTAGCCCCCAAAAGATGCAAGAAACATTTGCCTCATTCTAACCCTGGATTCCTTAAAATAGTAAAACCTGTCTGATGGGAGAATAAGTGTGCAAGTTTGGATGTTTTGTGTTTTTTTTTTGTTTTTGTTTTTCCCTCTTTCAGTTTTGTTTATATTTGGTGAAGGGAGTTGGGGAACTTGCCTGGAGAAGTGAGCCTGAGCTGCTGTGGCCCTGTGTCCTTGTAGTTTTAATACTCTGTAGATCTCTCTGCTTTGGCAACTGTAACATGCAGGCGGCAGTTAATACTTTTGTTACTTTTAAACATGAGGAAAATCTGGATTTATGTGTGAAACGATAGGACTGTCCATAAATTGTGTCCTGCGTGTCATAAAAGCTAAAGATCTCTCTTTGTGGTATTATTCGTGGCAGCTGGAGGTGGGGGGATGTTGTGAGAGATAATTATTTTTCTTGTGAATCCTTTTAACTGTAGACAACATAAAATAGCACACCAGGGTGGGAAAAAAAGTAAAAAAAATGCTCGAAGAGATGTGTGTTGTTTTTATGCCTAATAACACAACATCCATGCAACCCATGGATCAGGACTAATTTCCACTTCCAAGTCTTATTATTTAATAAATAATAAATATTAAATAATAAATATTTTGTAAAGCTATAGCTTCCATAGATAGTGTGATTCTTCTAATGGATCTAAGCAAAGGTAATTGAAAACCATTTGGAAAAAATCACCCTTCTAGATGCCATTAGAACATTGATGATTCATGGGAGGAGATCAAAATATCAACATTAACAGGATTTTGGAAGAAGTTCATTCCAAGTCTCATGGATAATTTCGAGGGCTTCAAAGCTTCAATGGAGGAAGTAACTGCACATGTGGTAGAAATAGGAAGAGAACTAAGATTAGAAGTGGAGCCTGAAGATGTGACTGAGTTGGTACAATCTCATGATAAAACTTTAATTGATGAGGAGTTGTTTCTTATGGATGAGCAAAGGAAGTGTTTTCTTGAGATGGTGTTAACTCCTGGTGAAGATGCTTTGAACATTGTTGAAATGACTCCCAAGGATTTAGACTATTGCATAAGCTTAATTGATAAATCAACAGCATAATCTGAGAGGATTGATTCTAATATTGAAAGAAGTTCTACTGTGGGCAAAATGATATCAAACAGTATCACATGCTATAGAGCAATATTTTGTTAAAGGAAGAGTAAATTGATGTGACAAGTTTCATTTTTGTCTTAAGAAATTTCTACAGCCACCCCAGCCTTTAGCAACCATTATTATCCTGATCTGTCAGCAGCCATCATCATTGAGACAATACTCTTACTCTCCACTAGCAAAAAGATTAGAACTCACTGAAGGTATGTATATTGTTTTTTTTAGACATATGCTATTGAACACTTAATAGATTACACTATAGTGTAAACATAACTTTTATATGCACTGGGAAACGAAAAAAATGAGGTTATTGCATTATTTGCATCATTTCAGTGATCTGGAACCAAATTTGCGGTATCACTGAGCTATGTCTGTATTAACTGTCTGTGAAGCCTTCTGTGATCACTATTAACGATGTCTATTACACCTCACTGTAATAATAGTTTTATTAAATAAAAGTTTGTTTTAATGTCTACCTTCCCTCTGAACTATAAATATTTTGAAATCTGAGTCTATGTCTTATTTATTGTCATAACTCCAGAACTAAACATAATCCACAAAGTAGATGCCAAGTTTATACTCATGAGGACTTACAAGCAACCATTAGGCCGGGCACGGTGGCTCATGCCTGTAATCCTAGCACTCTGGGAGGCTGAGGTGGGAGGATTGCTGGAGGTCAGGAGTTTGAAACCAGCCTGAGCAAGAGTGAGACCCTGTCTCTACTATAAATAGAAAGAAATTAATTGGCTAAGTAATATATATAGAAAAAATTAGCCTGGCATGATGGCGCATGCCTGTAGTCCCAGCTATTCAGGAGGCTGAGGCAGAAGGATTGCTTGAGCCCAGGAGTCTGAGGTTGCTGTGAGCTAGGCTGACGCCACGGCACTCACTCTAGCCTGGGCAACAAAGCGAGACACTGTCTCAAAAAAAAAGAAAAAAAAAAAAAACCATTAAAGTTTTTTCACTTCTAAAATCAATCGCTTAAAAGAAATCTACATTTACTTATGTTTTATAGATTGTTAATGCGTATAACCTCAAGCAGACAAGTTTCAACAAATGACATGATTGTACAAGGGTGAGTTATTATGGTTTTGTAACCTAACAAAATATTTTTATAAATCTGTTCCCTAAAGTTGACTCCCTAGTATAATGAAAACTTTCAACTTCCAGCTTCTATATTTTGTTATTGGGCTAAGTCTCATAATTATCCCAGTTTAGCTTTTGGAATGGATCTCATTGTTCTTACACTCACTCTTCTCCTTCTATAATTCTTTCCAAGCCTCTTCTCAGTACCTTGGCTACCTGAGGTAATCAGTGAAGAATAATTGCCAACCACCTCCCAATTGATAGTTTGCAACTGGGGAAATTTTTTTGATAACACTCATTTCACTAGGACTCTATAATTCACAGAAAAACATCACATCATCTCATAATATTAATAACAAGGAGATAGATGTCGTAATACTTTCTCAAATTATTCAGTAAAACAAAGATATGAGCTATCACAGTACATATAATGTCATAATCTTAATAAAACTCTTTCATTGTGCCAAACATCGTGTCAAGTACCACATAAATCATCTCTAATACTTACAAAGCCTTGTGACAAGAGCATTATTATCTTTATTTTAAAAATAATAATAAAAAAAAACCCTAAAGCTCAGTGTCAGCTTAGAGTGATATCCTAAGTCTGAATGGTAGGAAATGGCAGAACTATGAAAAGTGTTTTGTTTTATTGCAGAATGAAGTTTATTTAAAAAAAAAAAATTCTTTTTAGGTGCAAGCACTGAAAGAAGTCCCTTTAAAACAATGTGTCTGTTGGTGGCCACAGTCCACGGATGGTTACTGGTGAATACTTATAGACACCTTGAGAAACAGGAAGAATGAATAATTGGGTTTAGGATGGGCAGCAACCATGGTATTCACTGCAAGCTGGCACTGGTGTCTTCCGAGTGACCTTTGTTGGCTGTGTCAAGAGGCTTCCTTTTTTAATGCTGCTGCTAGATTGCTAGCAATGGCTGTGAATTTTGTCTTTTCATGTGCACTAACCTCAGGGGAAAAGTTTCCAAGGGAGCTATATAAGAGGACGTTACTAGCTCTTTCTGTCATCAAACTACCAGCCTGTGATTAGGGAAGGCAGATGGGGCATCAATG